CATATGGAACTTTATAAAAGCACAGGGCTTAACAGGGCTTACCCCACATGAAATGTTTGAAACAATCTGTAGACTAATATGCATAGGCAATATGTCCATATGGTGCAGCCATTTAATATGGCACAATAAATTACATGCCATGAAAACTCCTTTAATCATCTTCAAGCCCTTGACCCATTTGATCAGATCCTCAAGTTCTCAGGTTCTTCTGGGGGAGGGAGTTGAGGTTTTTGTAATTGGCTCCCATAGTCAACTTCCCAGTGCTGCAATTCTTTAGTAACAAATTATCTCAAGAATAACAATGTCAGTATTTCTTGCAAGAGAGAAATAATTTGATGCTTAACATCTGTCTGGCATTTATTTCCACTTCCTGGCTCCTCCTCCCTCCTCCTGGAGCAGAGGTCAAGGCACAGGTGCTATTGATGTGAAACCTCCTGCCTTAACATTATATGGCTCTTCTAAAGAACAGCTGGAGAAGAGCTGGGTTTAGACATGCTTGTGTCAAGATCTCTGGAGCTCACATTAGTGGTTTCCCAGTGATATCCAAAACCTGAGCTTTTTGTGGAGAACATAACAAAACTCTGGGCACATTTTGAATGTTTTCTCCCTCCTTTCCTAATAGTTAGAATCCTGTTTGCCTGAGTTGCTGAATAATTTCGGGGTCGAAATAAGATTTCTAGTACATATTTGTTTTTTCCCCCTGTCATTTCATTTCTATTCTATTTCACCTCAACAGTCACTGAATTTCAGTTACTGAAATTAATTAATCATAGGCTATCCTTCAAAGCACGTGTTCTCAAGAGAGGCTTACAAATATTTCAAAAACTAAAAAAGTAGGTTGCATTCAGAAGTGTGAAGTATACAATGAAGCAAATTAAATAAGCTATTAAATTAAACTAAACCATTAAAACGGCTCCTGGGTAGCAGAAATTAGATTAATTAAAATTATAATTAGTGTATAAAATAGTTAGGAAACTTGCTCTGCCCCTTCAAAAACCTTTAACATTCAATTTGGTTATTTTACACATTTGGAATATGTTGCACTCCAGACAATCTCTCCGTGACAATATTTTCTGGTAGAGTAAGACAGTAGTATCAGATGAAGTTTGTCCTAAACTAGTAGGCCATTCAAGATCAAAGGCTTTTTATTTTGTTTTGTATATACTGGTATAAATTTCTGGAGACCCTTTTAGCAGACAGCCACCAGATGGCAACATCTGCATTCAAATTATCAAGACTTGTCTATTAAGGCTATATCATGTTTGCAAAAGCATGTTATATTTTATCCCTTTGAACATATCAGACTGTATGACTAAATGACTCAATGCAGCCTGGTTTGTTTAGACATTTTGGACCACAATGCCCCTAATTCCTAGGCAGTATGTCCAACTCTAGATGGGGGAAGATAGCTAGACAAAAACGGGAAGGTAAAAACAGTTTCCCATAGTTGCGAATAGTTAGATTTTAACAAAAAGTGAGCAATACATATGCATGTAATGCAGGTAGTCCTCAGTTTACAATTGTTCATTTAGTGAGTGTTCAAAGTTACAGTGGCACTAAAAAAAAGTGGCTCACAACCAGTCTTTGCACATATAACTGTTGCAGTATCCCTACAATCATGTGATTAAAATTTAGACAACCCAGGGACACTGCAACTGTTATAAATACATGACCATTGCCTGAATTTGTTTCTTCATTCACTTCCCAGCAAAAACATAAAATTCTGTAGCCACTAAAGTATGCAGGCTTCATTGATCTATTTTGAAATTTGTTTTTCAATTAACTCCCCCACCCATCCACTTCACCACTTCTGTACAGATGGTGCTGTTTTGCCTATGGATATTCAGTGAATTAAGGTAGTGATTTAGCATATTGAAGTAAAATCATGCAAAATTCATTGGAATGCACTTCTGGTGTGTTTAGCTAACAATAGTACTGTAACAAAAAGAAATCCTATCTTGAATCTTGGCTTTTATTTATGCGTAAATGTTTTAAAAAACAAAAGCATCAAATCAACAGAACACACATTTTTCATATGCAGCCAGTTTAGAAGATCAAAGGAGGCACAGTAAAAGATTGGCATTTGTTCAACTTGAGAGGCATGAGGAATTTTTGACATTGGCAATAGTGGCATGGATACTCTTGGGGCCAATCCTAGCTGTAACTAACCTTCTCTGTTGATAGCTAATGGGCATCTCTCCAATGTCCTAATGGCAGCCCAGTGAAAGCCTATAAATGACCATTCTGGACAATGACTGTTGTATTATAGCTAGCTATTCAATTATTGCAAGACTTTCAGTCAGCCTCTGCCATTATATTCTATTCACCAGCAGCAGATTCCATTCTTTACCCTGTCAGCTTCCTCTGCTCCCTTGTTCCTTTTCCAATGACTCAATATTTTCTGTCTATTGTGTATGTGTTTTTCTGTGTAAAAAATCCAGAGTATGAAAATCATTTTTGCTTTCTAGGTGTGCAATGTCTCCAATGTCCACCTTAAGCTGAATGTATTTCCTCAGTCCTATTCCTTTTTATGCCTGCTTGTGGAATTCACAATTGCACAGATAAATCCATGATGTAGTCCTTGTTCAAGCATATTATCTATTTGAGTATTTATATTTATTTATATGGAGACTGTCCAATCTATAGATGACTCTGGTTTGCTACTTCTAAAAAACATTAAACAATAACATAAAAAAGAACTGTACATACAGTATTTGGGAATAGACACAGCACAGCAAAAAACCTAAAATAATTACATTTAGGAGCTCAGCAATCACCCTAACAGTTCCAGGGGTAGGCAACCTCAGCTCTTTTATGACTCATGGACTTCAACTTCCAGAATTCTGGGAGTTGAAGTCCATGAGTCATAAAAGAGCCGAGGTTGTCTACCCCTGCCCTAACCGCAGGCTTGAGAACAAAACCCCGTCTTCAAAGGCTTCTAGTATAACTAAATGATGTAACATTTGATATATGATTACCAGAAAAATTATCTAGAATGTCCTGTATAAAAGTGGTTCAAATCTATATTGGAAATGTGAATAATAAGCAGGATCATTTTTACTATGCTTGGTGGACATGCAAAAAAGCTAGAAGATTTTGGGTTCAAATCCATATACAGTACTGTTTCAGAGGATTTTAAAGATTGATATATAAGGGACTGATGAATAAACACTTTGAAAAAAGTCATGAAAATTTATTTTTATATAAGGAAACAGCAGTTGGGTTATTATAGGCACAAAGTTGGAAAGATTTGGCAATATCCAAATGGAGGAATATTTAGTGAAGATGATAAAACTTGCTGATTAAAGAAATCATGTTTATTGCTGAGTGGAAACACTATATGGGCTTACTTGCATTAAACAGAAAAAAATAAACATGTTCTATGGTTTTGATGATTAAATAGGATAGATTATAGAAAGATGATAGTCATGATGTAACTTTAGAGAAAGTGGTAAATCTACAATTGGACTTATAATTGCTGTGAAAAAGACTGGAAACCACATTTTATACTTTTTCTATTTTTCTTCTCCCTTTTCTTTTCTCTTTTAGTATTGTACATTACTTTTAATTCTTTTTTTCCCTTCTTGTTTTGTTTTAGTTTATATTAATTTTACTTTTGTTTTTAAAGTTTTCAATAAAATATATATTAAAAAAGACTTTCAGTACAAATGAAAGGTGGAAGCCAAACAGATCTCCGGGGTGTGTGCTATTCTATTTCAGACCAGCTGTAGCTTCTGAGTGGCCTTCTAGGGCAACCCATGTAGATTGTATTACAGTAGTCCATTCGTAAGTTGATTAAGTCATAGTCGGTCATGAGTGACTGCCAGAAAGGCTTCCTACTGTAGGAAAGGGAATAATTGGTGCACTAGAGAGATCTGTGCAAAGACTCATCTGGCCACAGCTGCCACTTGCTCTTCAAGCAGGATCTGTGAGTCCAGGACAACCCCCAGATTGCCCACCTTTTTTTAAACAGGGTAGCAAAACTCTATCTGAAAGCAAATATGGACTAGTCAAATGGAAGGGCCAAACACAGCCACTTGGTCTTGCCAAATACAGCCCATGTTTCTTTCTTCCCATCCAGATCTATACAACTTTAAGATACTGAATCAGGATGTTCACAATATCATCTGGACAGCCTAGGGTTAAGACATATTTTGGAGTATTCTTTGCATATTGATGATAGATGATTCCAAAGTGACAGATGACCTCACTTTATAATTTCATGTAGACAGTAAATAGGAGGGAGGAGAACATTGAGCCCTAAGACATCCCATAAACGAAGGACTGCAGACACAACATCTTTTCTGTCAGTGCCAACTGCAACTGGCCACAGAGGAATGAAAATCATTGTAAGATAATGGCCTCCATCCCAAACCAAACCATTCCAGAAATATATCATGGTTGGTGGTATTGAAAGCTGCAGAAAGGTCAAGGAACACAAAAATGTGTTCCACATACTTCTGTCACAGCTTAACAAGTGCAACCAATACTGTTTCTGTATTGTACTCCAGTCTGAAACCCAACTGAATGGGTCCAGATAGTTCATTTCCTTCAAGCAAGGCAGAGTATAACAGAAGTCAGGCAGAATTTTTTGAATACAGCAATAATTATCCAAGAAGGAACATTCCACATTCTCTAAATTCCAGATTTTTGATCAGCTTCCCAAAATTGGGAAATTGAGCCACTGTCTTAAGTCATGATGTGGACTGGTTGGTTTTAGCTGTGTGTTGTATGAAATCAGCAATTGTGGCATGTTGGGTCAATCAGATAAGTATGGCTTATTGAGTAAACCATAGCTAAATAGACCATGGCTTAGTGTAATGTGTGAACCTGGCCATTCTGCATCAAAGTGTGAACCCAATCAATCTGCATAGTTATTCAAACTTTGACAAACTACCATATGGGAGCTGTAGTGAACAGACTAAATTTCTTGAAACTATCTGAAAACTTGTACTAAGTAGCTAGAACTTATTTTTAAAGAGAAGAGTGATTCAGACCAGTGTTTGTATTAAAACAGCTTTTATTGTGCAGATTGTAACCATGGCTATTGAACATGCAGAATAAAAAAATGCCAGTTACATCTTGTAAGCATATGTGAGTATCTTGGATCAATAATGTTATCTGCTTTGGAATGCACTTTCTGAATATACCATTCTAGACAATATATTTCAAAGTGTTTTTTTAATTATATAAAATTAAACTATGTTTACATTCTCACCAAAAGTATGATGTTGTTGTATTACAACATATATAGATATATATCTAAATAATATATCTCATTTATGTACATTATAAAAATTATGGCCAGACCAGTGTATGTTTTAAATGCAAAAGGAAAACATATAAAGTTATTTATATTTCAAAAACTTGTGTTCAAAACACAAAAAAGCACTTTTATAAAATGTCTACTATGGTAGTGTTTAGAGTTACAGTACTGAAAGCTGATTGAAATTTTATACGGAATTGCTCCTGAGTAATACTCTACAGCACTTGTAGCAATAGCACTTAGACTTATATGCCGCACCATAGTGCTTTACAGTAGTCTCTGGGCGGTTTATAATGTCAGCATATTGCCCCCAACAATCTGGGTTCTCATTTTACTGACCTTGGAAAGATGGAAGACTGAGTCAACCTTGAGCTCTGTCAGGATCGAACTCTAGGCTGTGGTCAGAGTTTGCTTACAATACTGATATTTTAACCACTGCACTACCAGGGCTCCTGTACTAATTTCTTGGCCAACAAAGTTTTTGCTACTTTACATTTATTGAGCAAACTGTATATAATTACATTCTCATTACTTCATGTGATTTCAAGCTGATCTTAATGGTCTGGACTACATATTCAACCACACCCTTTTTCTCTTTCATGAAATGAATACATTTTATATTAACCATTTTTGAGCAAAATATATGAATAAACACTATTATTTCCATATTCCATACCAGTGTTCCATAGCTTGATGTCCTCAACTCCTGAACTTCAGTTTCCATAATTCCTAACCAGCATTCTAGGGGCTGGAATTTATGGGAAGTAAGAGTTTAAAACATGCTAAGTGTAATAGTTTAGGAAAGATTATTTCACTCCCCACAAAGTTTAGTTGGGAGATAAACTTTGTTAAGTGTAGATTACATACTAGAAAGAACTGACTAAAGCATTGGGAGATCAAACCTAAATGAAATGATAAGACACTTTTTCTGAGAGAATGGAAAGTGAATCTGCTGTGCTCACTATTTGTTTCATTGACTAAATTACTGTTATCAATAGCTACTTCTAGTAAATTAATGTGATTTCTGAATAGGTAATCCAAAATATGGGACTGACTTTTGACCCCTATGAAGCCAATAAATAAATGCCATCATTGGCACATTGCATTTTTCAAGCAATAAAATATTAGTCAAAATACTGTTGAATATATATCATATATTGTACAAATAAAGACATTCTGAAGTTCAGTTTCATATGTCCACACAGTTTTCTTGAAATAATGTGGTATGTAATGTTCTCTTCTGGATTTTTTCAGCCTCTATACTATTAGCATAGGTAAAGGAGTCCCTGTGGATTTTACTCTGCTAGTCATTGCTGATTTTAGGGGGTGGTATTCATCTCCGATTCAAGGCCATTGAGCCAGCATTGTCTGAAGACATTTCCGTGGTCATGTAGCCAGCATGACATCACAGAGCACTGTTACCTTCCAACCGAAGTGATACCTACTTGCACTTGTGTATGTGTGTGTGTGTATACTGTTAGCATAGGAGACTAATAAAAGAAAAAATGATGCTACACCTCTATCTACTGCAACAATTGCCTATTGTCAATAAAATGCTCATCATTTATTCAAAATAATGGGCTGCTATGATTCTGTATCAATGCACATGAAAGATAAATCTAATTAGCTAATTACCTAAAATAGTAGAAATGTAACTTAATGAAGGACACCAAGGTCACTCTTAGTAAAACCTGGATTTGCAAAAAGGAAGGCATATACAGACTATCCAAGCAATTCTGGTATAATGTTAGTTTCAATTACCATGAAGAGGTCCTCTTCAGGACTGGGCCTATCATGTAGCAGGATGAAGTGTCGAGGAGATATGAGTGGATTTTTATTTTTATTTTACAGGGGCAACTGTGGGGGAGAAGAAAAGTGCCGTTTGAGATCCAGTTCAGATAAGCATGGGATCAGCACTTGCCTCCTTCAGTTGATGGATACCAATCCCTTAGTGAATATGCTTAGGCTTGGCACTGTAAAAATAGACAGGCTGAAGCAATCAGTTTAAAAAAACTAGCCAGGGCATTATTGTTAATTATGCTAGGACTGTACCTGGAACCTATTCTAGATACTCAAGATCCAAGTAAGCCTTCCTTGTAACTAGTTTCTAACAAAAGCAGAACAAATTTTGAAATTCCTCAGTTTATATTTAAGAAAGCTCATCCTGGTTAATAGCTATAAAAAAACCAGCACATTCAAACAAAACCATTGAAGCTATTCTCTCACTTCATTGTCACCATGGTGACAGTAAAGATTCTACATCACAATATTAAATAATGCTATAAATGCTTTTTTTCTGTATTTTTCAGAGAGTTTTATGCACCAGGAAGGTTCCTTGAATTATGTACAGCTCAGTTTAAAAGGGGGGAGGGTAACAGTGAACCATAACATAGTGCTGCCCAAAACACTTGTATGATTAGGGAAAAGTTGGCAATGTATAAACTGGACTAGCACACTGGGGACTTGCTTAGATTTAATGAATTTGATTTAAAGCTGTCCTTCATAGAAAACGGCCAAATCACTCTTACAAACCCAGTTTATAGTTGGCATGATTCAAAACAATTTGTATCTACCTTGCTATCTACTTTTAAGAGAACAATTAGTCCTTTTGTAGTAAGTTTTGTTTAAATTAATTAGAACATATGTATTTAAGAATGATGCTAAAAAATTAAATACAATAGTGTCCTTTTTATTTTAATCTAGGGATAAATTAACTTTCAGTATGTGCATGCCATAAGGATTTTTTTGATGGAAACATTTTCAGAAAATAAATCCAACCATATTCCTATCTTGACTTTTGATTTATATATTGAAATTTTTAGAAGTCTTTGTTCAGAGATAAAATTGTGTAGTATTTCTAAAAAGCTCTTTGTTTAGATCCTGTCATTCCTAGTTAAGAAGACCTCAAGGAAAAGGGTCCATTCTTCTCACGCAAGTGTCATCAGGATTTCATAAATTCTTTGGTTAAAGAAAAGCCTAAGGTCACCCCTTACAATTTCTCTTAGTGACATATATTATATATTTATAATCCAAATAATCTGTCATGGGACTACAAAATAAGACAGAAGCAGCACTAACAGCTTTTTGTCAACATGCCTAGTTGTTTGAATTGAAAGCTTTGTCTTTTTAAAGACACTTGATTTCTTTCTCTCAGCACATATGTTACAGTAGTCATTTCTTTAAATCTGTGTGTGGCAATTAGATATGGTCACTACAGTAAAACGCTACAGTCATCTGACAATACATCTATAAAAGGAACATTCTGTTGACATCTGCCAGCTTGTTGCCATGTACATTATGCTGCAGTAGCTTTTATACCGCTTTTACTCACAGTAAAATGAAGAGCAGTGTGATAGTGCTGGAAAGCATATTTGCAGTTCTGCATTATAATCAGTGAGTTTAACTTGCAACAAATGAATGGAAGGGGTAAGCAGAACAATACAGGTCAGCAAAACAACAAGCAGGTAAAATGGACGAGCAGCTATTTAATTTGTTTGTGTTTGTTTAATGCAAATGGACTTTCCTCCTGAAAAGAGTGAATAGCATAAATCCAGGAGGGATTAAGTAGCAAAGAAAGTTAAAAAGAAATTATTTGCTGCATTCAAGTTGATTGTTGTTGTTTTTTGAGTGATGCTGTTAAGTGCCGGTCATTTTATTAATTTATGGCAGCCTTGAGACTGGCACCAAAATATGAAAGGGGAAAAAAACCCCTCATTCTTCAGCTCCTTGAAATGTCATTTATGCTTCCTTTCGTACTGTTGCTCTGATAGAGCTCAGCATTTTGCCAACAGCCTCATAGAATGGGTCACAGAAGGTATGGATAAAGATAGTATAAACTCGGCCAATGCACTGGATCTCAATTAGGTAGCTTCTGATACACGGCACCACAGCCCAGATATGGAAGAATGACAAAATGGCAAAAAAAATTCCCCAGATAAGAGCCATGGGAATGCCAAAGATTGCAGACAATAAGCGATAAAACCAGTATTTTGTCACAGTGAAGGTGGTGAAACTGGCCTTCCAGATCCCATCGAAACTGTGGGTTCCTGCAGGTTCGGCAATCACATCTTCAAAGTCAATCTATACACAAAAGATGACATAAATTAGAATGAAACTCATAACAAATGCTCCGACACAGACACTTTTAAGTTACAATCAGGGGTATCCACAAGTGGAGGCCAAAAAGGTCAAGTTGGCAGCTCCCACCACGAGGTTGAAGTCCCACTCCTTTTTTATGAATGTTGATAATACGGGCCTTTTTCAACTCTGCTGAGGATGCCTCTGTCCACGAACTCAATAAACAGACAAACATTTCAATGGTACATATGAAAAAGAAAGGCATGTTCCATATTCCCTTTCAAATCTTCTGTCTTCCACACCAGAATTTTTACTTATATGCTAAAAGCTAATTACATTTACATCTTCTGCAGCATGCAGATCAAAATAGCAATCATGAGTTATTCACTCTTTTTACACTTGAAATGCTAAAGGGATGGAACTATAGTAGAAAGATCAAACCAGTTCAATCATGCTTTTCAGCAAAATTTCTATGCATCAGCATTGAATAAGAGGATGAATAGAGTGCCATCCAGCTTAGATTTCTGCACTGACAACTCTAGGAAGAAAAACAGATCCTCTACTGACATCTTACCAAACTGCTCTGCACATTTTGGAGCTTTTAAAATGGTTATGAAGAGGAAGAACTTGCTGGATTTATGAAGGCATCTTGAATCTCAAGATCAGTAAGAGTCAAGAACATGTTTAGAGTACAATTCTCTGAGCTCAGCAGGTCAACCAAAAAAATATAGGTAGTCCTCGATTTACAACGTAATGAAGCTGGCCAATTACAGTCATAGGTTGTGGCAACCATAAAGTTGGTCATCACATAACTGACCCAATTTTACAATATTTTTCTCAGCAGTTGTAAAGCAAATACAGCTAATCCTAGACTTACAACAGTTCATTTAGTGACCATTCAATGTTACAATGGCACTGAAAAAAGTGACGTGACTGTTTTTCACACTTACAACCATGGCAACTGGTTCATATTTATGACATCTGCAATGTCCTGAGATCATATGTCCAGCTTTTGCAACCTTTTGACAAACCAAATAAATAGGGAAGACAGATTCACTTAACAATCGTGTTCCTAACTTAACAAATGCAATGATTCACTTAACAACTGTGGCAAGAAAAGTCATAAAATGGGGTAAACTCATTTAACAAATGTCTCACTTAGCAACATAAATTTTGGGCTCAATTGTGGTCATAACTCAAGGACTACCTGTACTTAATCATTAAGTGAATTGTTCACTATAGGGTGTTTTTGCTAAAAACTGGAAGAAGATGCTGGTTTTTGGCAAAAACATTGCAAACTGTGGTCATGTGACTGTGGAATGCTGCAAAACAGTGTAAAACCAGGCTGATTGCTGAATCTCCAAAATGTGGTCATCTGACTGTGGCGGGGATGGTGGGTAGCCGTCAGAACTTCTGCCAAGCTGGGAAAGATGGCAGAGGAGGATTCTTCTACTAATTGTTAAAAGAGAACCTGGTTCGAGTACAATTTTGAAGACATTCCTCAAGAATACCTTTAATAAATTCTCTTGGTATGAGAGACTATAAATGCCTTCTGAATTCAGACAGTTCTTTTCCTGAATCTGTATGGATACTGTGAATAGCTAAGCAAAAATAAGATTTCTTTATGGAGCTGCTGGCAGGTACAAAGGAAGTGTCCACCACAATTCTGAAGCACTTTACTACAGTACTTCAGAACTAATGCTGCACAGAGAGCACACCCATTTCCTCTGATAACTCTCACTTTACCCACTTGCTATACACACAGACACATACAAAGGCCAGGTTTTAATTTCTTAGGCTGAAAACCACCCATCTTACACCACCTCTTTCTTATCTGCAATCAGTTTTAATTTCTGGACCCTAGCCAATACAGACTCCAGGCACCTGTCAAGAAGCTACAGGTGGAAAGAAGAGACAGAAGAGCTAAGGTCTATCAGTGTGCTAATAATTTTGAATTCCAAATTTCTAGATGACCATCCAACCCCTTTTAGAAACACTGTTACTATTTTAGCATTATTTATGGAAATAATGTCATGCATAAAAATAATTTAAATAACTTGTGTGACATGCTTTTATTATGGAAGTATTAATATATTCCTATATAAAATACTGGATCTTGTTTTGATAGGCAAACATATAATTTGACTATTAAGAAGAAATATCCAGTGTTTTTTTTTTAAATTTTGGGAGTTTGAATTTTGGTATTCCATGAAATATTTTCCAAGGAAGTACATATTCAAATGAAATGCCAAAATATCTCAGGAGTGTCATAACACTTCCAAATAGAAAATTAACAGAAACAACTTGAGATAAAAGATCAACTCTATGTATCACATGACCATGTCTTTGATATAATCCACAGCACAGGATATTTATTGCTGCTAAAATAACCAAATAATAAAGGTATGTCAAGTCCACAGGAAAAAACATAACACAGAATCTTGAATTTAATGAGCTATACACTAAACATGTGCACAATAGACTTTCTGAGAAACTCTTCAGTCAATGTTTCTCAGATTCCTGAGAAGGAGCTACAGATAGCTGGGGAAACTACTGCAATTAAATAAGACAATATAGTAGTAGCTGTTTGAGGTCATGACAATTTTCATAATCTGTTATTCTTGGTTAAGCATCTGGAATTCACCAAATTGTTTTATTGTTCTTTACAAGTGGTATAATCAATGGTGGGATTCGGCTGGTTTGCACCGGTTTGGCAGAACCATTACCTACTTTCTCTTGAGTTCGGCAAACTGGTTGTTAAAATGGCACTTGAAAAAAGCAGAGTTTATGCCTTGCACTTGCCCTGCATCCGTCATGCTCTCCATGGCGCACTGCAGCTGACCCAAGGCAGCCGGCCAGGTACTGAAGTGCCGCCGAAAAGAGCGGAGTCTGGGTGTGCACCTGCCTTGCCTGTGTCAGCCATGCTCTCCACAGTGCACTGCAACTGCCCGAGGCATGGCTGATGGGTCAGTGTGTAGCACAGGCGCATACAGACTCTGCTGTTTTCAGCAGCACTTCAGTCCCTGGCCAGCCACCTAGGATCAGTTGCAGTGCACCATGGAGAGCATGGCTGATGCGAGCAAGGCAGGTGCGCATATACACTATGTTTTCAGCGGTGCTTTGGTGCCTGGCCAGCCGCCTCGGGTCAGCTGCAGCATGCTGTGGAGAGCATGGCGGATGCAGGGCGAGTGCGAGGAAGGCATGCACATGGACTTTTTTTGGTGCCCTCCCGAGAAGCGGCATGGCAGTTGGTCAGTGGACACACCATGAATGGGGATTCACCATCCCCCAAACCCTGCTGCTGTGAAAGTAGATCCCAGGTTGCAATGTGTGCTACAATGGAGAGACGGGAAGTGAAGCAGATGGCGCGAGGGAAGGAGGAGTGGGGAGAAGAAAGAGGAAAAGCGGCCGAGTGAGAAGTGGGGCTGTCCCGGCCAGTCAGGCACCAAAGCGCTGCTGAAAACAGAGGAGTCTGTGTGTGCACCTGCTACATGCTTGCCTAGTGTCAGTCATGCTCTCCATGCCTCAGATCAGCTGCAGCATACCATGGAGAGCACGGCTAATGCAGGGTGAGTATGTGGCAGGCAGGCACATGGACTCCTCTGGTTTTGGTGCCTCTTCTTACTCGGCAGGGTTTGGGGGATGGTAAATTCCCATTCGTGGCATGTCTGTCAATCAATCACCATGCCGCCTCTCGGGAGGGCACCAAAAAAAGCGGAGTCCATGTGCGCACCTGCCTTGTGCTTGCCCAGTGTCCGCCATGCTCTGCACGGTGCGCTGCAGCTGACCTGAAGTGGCCGGCCAGGCACCGAAGTGCCACTGAAAACAACAGAGTCTGTGTGCGCGCCTGCTATACACTCACCCATCAGCTGTGCTCGCCATGCCTTGGATCAGCTGCAGCACTGTGGAGAGTATGGTGGATGTGAGGCAGGCGTGCACACAGACTTCACTTTTTTTTTTAGTCCCACAAACTTCTTTTGTTTGTGGACTGCCCATGGCGGTGGAGGAGCGCATCAGAGCTGGAAAGAAGATTAGCAAAGAAATGTTTTGGGAAGGGAGGGCATCTGGGTGGTGGTGGATGAGGCAAGCTCTCCAGCTTCACAGTGGCAGAGAAATGTGATGCTTTCCAGCTCTGGTGCTCCACCTGGCGCTTCAATGGCTGTGTGGTCAAAGCTGCAAAGAGGGCCAGGTGATTGAAACTACCAACAGTCGGCTCGAAAGGGGAGTGAAAGGGCAAACCCCCTAATGGTGCCAGGCCTGAAACAGGTCCATCTCTCTCTAGCAGCTGCCCAGGCCTGCCAGACGGAAGGCCGGCATCTACCAGTACCAGCACTTATGGTAAACACGGTGGCATTCTGGTTCTGGCAGGGAAGGGACAACCGGCATGGGCGCTACAGACAGGACACCAGTTTACTTCAGCACCCTCCCTGACCCACCAGTGCTCCGCCGGTGCTCTGCCACCAATGGGTATAATGTGTTACACTTGTCTGAAACTTTTTATATCAGTGGTCCCCAACCTTTCTGGTTCGGAAACTGGTGGCAGTCGTGGAGGGAGGAGATGGTTTCCTACACATGCCTACTGCTTTGTGTAAATGGAGCTTTGTGCACTCATTTGTTGCTTGCATGTCCTGGTTCCCAACAGGCTGAGGACCAGTGCAGGGCCATGAACCAGGGGCTGGGGTCTCCTGTTCTATATTGCTTCATAGCAGATATACTCTTCCACATCCTCAAAAAGCATTTTTAATACGTTCAACAGTAAAACTGACTCAGAGAAAGTGCAGAACTGAGGATATCAGATACACTGGCACTAGAATCATATGACATTTACCCAAATCTTATGTGTCCATTGATGATATTTTAGTTTTCTTCAGGAAGATAGGGAGATTCAAGATGGATCCTGATATGCATTATTATAGTATTGAAAGCCCTTTTTCAATACTCAGATAAGCTTCAATTAAATCTGTCAATATGATGAATGTGTGTTAAACTATCTACACATTTCA